TGGTTGCTATGGAGAGGGAGGTCCATGTGGTTGCTATGGAGAGGGGGTCCATGTGTTTGCTATGGGTTAGGGTCTAAAGGGAAGCTGTCATTAGTCGCTACGGGATGATTGTGGTTGCAGTGGGAAATGGGTATCTTGACGCTAAGGGCTCAATATGGTTACTCCAGGAGGGGCTTCCTGTGGGTGGTATGGATTGGGGTCTGTGCTGTTCCTTTTGGGGAAGGGTGTATATGGTCACCATTGATGGCGCTGGGATTAATAGGACTCCAGGTTTAAATGCATAAGAACAATAGAAATAGAAACAGATAAAAACCTCACAACCCCTCACAGAATCACAGAATTAATGCCCATTATGCCTGCACCTGTTCTCTAAATGAGCAAGTCATCTAGTGCCATTCCACTGCATTCTACCCCTAATGCTGCACATTCTTACTTTTCAAATAGCAGCCTAATTCCCTTTTGAAAGCTTTGCTTTGTTTTTTTATTAATCATTCACATGAAGTTTGTGTTGCTGGTTGGCCAGCATTTATTGCCCATCCCTGGTTGCCCCTTAAGAAAGTGGTGGTTAGCTGCCTTCTTGACCGCTGCAGCCCATGTGCTCTAGGTACACTCACAATGCTGTTGGGGAGGGTGTTCCAGAGTTTTGACCCAGCAACAGTGAAGGAATGGCGATATATTTCCAAATCAGGATGGTGGGTGACTTGGCAGGGAAGTTGCAGGTGGTGATGTTCCCATGTGTCTGCTGCCCTTGTCCTTCTAGATGATAGTGGTTATGTGAATGGAGGGTGCTGTCTAAGGAGCCTTGGTGAATTTGTGCAGTGCATCTTGTAGATAGTGCACACTAATTTTGCCGAATGTCAGTGCCAATATGGTGCCAATCAAGTGGGCTGCTTTTTCCTGGATGTTGTCATGCTTCTTGGGTGTTATTGGAGCTGCACTCGTCCAGGCAACCTGATTCTACTGCAATATCAGGCAGCATGTTCCAGGCCCTAACTACTCACTGTCTGAAAGAAGATTTTCTTTCAATCATATCGTTTTTGCTTTTTTGTGTCCTTTCATCCTTTGCTCTTTCACAAATAGAAACATTTTTTACCCCTATCTACTCTGTTTAGACCCCTCATAATTTTAAATACCTTGTTCAGATCCCCTCTTGGCCTTCGTTTTGCAAATCTATTTCCATAACTGAAGTCCTCATTCTGGAGCAATTATTATGAATCTTTTCTGCATTGTCTCCAAAGTCTTCACCCTTCTTAAAGATGGTGTCCAGAACCGGAAACATTACTCCAGCTGAGACCAAAATAGTGTCTTATACAAGTTCAAAACAACCTCTGCTCTGGATTCTACAACTTTATTAATAAAGCCTACAATACTGTATACTTTATTAACCACTCAACCTTTCCTTCCACCTTCAAATCAATTATGTTGCAATACATCCAGGTCTGTCTGCTCCTGCCCCCTTCTTAGAATTGCATTCTTTATTTTATGTTGTTCAGTTTCAACTTTTTCTCTCCTTCCTGCCCCCATATCGTTTGATTGCCTGAGAGACCACAAATCTGCCTATCTCAGCCTTAATATATATTTAATGATGGAGCATCCACAGGATAGTAACATAAACAATCTACTCCTCATCCTGAGATTGGCCACCGATGTTCTAGTCTCCCCAGTCAAGAGGAACAACTTCACAGTGTCTATCCTATCAAGTACCTTCTAAATCTGAACGTTTCAATGAGGTCACCTCTTATTCTAAACTCCAGGGAGTCTAGGTTCAATCCGCAACCATCTCATCCCAGAAACCAATCGAGTGAACTTTTGCTGCATTGCCTTCAAAGCAAGTATAGGCTTGTTTAGATATGGAAATAAAACTGCACTGTGGTCTTACCATAACCCTATACCATCGTAGCAAGACTTCTTTACTCGTGTATCCTAATCCCTTGGAATAATGATCAATGAGTCATTTGTTTTCCTTATTACTTTCTGTCTCTGCATACTAACTGTCCGCATTCCTTGTAGAAGTCCACCTACATCCTCATAAACATCAACAATTACAAGTTTTGCATGTCTTAAAAAATATTTTGCCTTTCACTTTTTATACCAAAGTGAATAACCTTGCACTTTCCCATATTAAACTCCACTTGCAACTTTGTTGCCCACTCACCTGCCCTCTCTCTAACTCCTTACAGCCTCTTTCGGGCAACTTCACAGCTTGCAGTTCCATCTCACTTTGTGCTGCAAAAGGACGTGATTGGCTATGAAGTGCTTTGGGATGTTTTGAGGTCATGAAAGGTGTTATATAAATGCAGACCTTCCTTTATAATTTCTGACAATTTTGTCAAGCCTGAGGTCTTTTGTTTGTCCACAGAGTGAGTTCAGTCCTTAACCGTGATGTGAAGCAATTTGGAAAGAAGTTCTTGTTTGATCGTAATGAGGAGACCTGCTGGAATTCAGATCAGGTAATAATTAGTGATGGCTCGGGAAGAGATGGAATCCCATGGAACTGTTCTACATTGCCTTGTCGATTGTAGTGAACTTAGTTTAGAAAAAAACTTGGATTTTTATGTACCATTTATGAGCTTAGGATATCCCAAACACTTTATAGCCGATCAAGAACTTCTAAAATGCAGTCATTGTTGCAATGTAGGAAAGGTGGCAGCCAATTTGCACATAGGAAGTTCCCACAAACAGCATATTGATAATAATCAAGTAGTTGTTTTCCTGATCTTGATTGAAGGATGAAAATTGGTCAGGACATAGTATAACTGTCCTGTTCTTCTTCATTGTGACTTGAGGGGACAGACTGAGCCTTTGTTTAATGTTTCTTTCGAAAGATGCAAGAAGAATTATATTCAACCGCAATATCTAACTCCATGGCCTAGCTTATCACCCACCCTACTATTATTACCAAGCTAAGGTTTCAACCCTGGTTCAACAGGGAGTGCCAGAGGACATTTCAGGAACATACCTAAAAGGTGTCTTAGTGAAGTTACAACACAAGATTCAACGCATGCCAAACAGGGCAAACAACATGCAATTGACAGCGCTAAGTGATCCCACACAATCAGATCAAAGTTGTGCACTCGTGCCACATCCAATCATGAATCGTGATGAACAATTAAACAACTAGCAGGAAGAGGAGAAAGCTCCACAAATATCCCATTCACATTGATGATGAGCCCAACACAATAGTGCAAAAGACAAAACTGAAGCATTTGTAACTCTCTTTAGCCAGATGTGCCAAGTGGATGATTCAGTGTGGAAAATCACCCAGGTATGTCTTATCCACAAAAAGGGCAGGACAGATCCAATCCAGCCAAATGCTGGCCCATCAGTGTTCTCTCAATCATCTGCGAAATGACGGAAGGGCTCATCAACAGTGCTATCAAGTAACACTAAATCAGCAATAATGTGCTCACTAATGTCTAATTTCAATTCTGCCAGACACACTTAGCTCCTGCCTCATTACAGCTTTGCCCCAAACATGGACAAAAGAGCTGAATCCCAAAGGTGAAATGAGAGTAACTGCCCTTGATATCCAGATAGCATTTAACTGATTGTGGCAAAATTGAATCAGTGTAAATCAGCGGGAAAACTCTCCATTGGGTCGAGTCGTAACCAGCACAAAGGAGGATGGCAATGGTTGTTGGAAGCCCAGGACATCATAGCAGAAGTGCCCCAGTGTACTTTGTCCAATCATCTTCAGCTGCTTCATTAGTGACCTTCCCTCTGCTATAAGCTCAGAAGTGGGGATATTTGCTAATGATGCACAATATTCAGCACCAATTGCAAATCCTTAGATACTGAAGCAACAAAACCTGGACAGTATTCAAGCTTGAACTAATAAGTTGCAAATAACATTTGCACCACAGACTTGCCAGGCAATGGCCATCTACAGCAAGAAACCATTAAACCATTCCATGGCATTACATCACTGAATCACCACAATCAACATCCCGGCTGTTACCATCAAACAGAAACAGAACTGGACCAGCTATATATAAATGCCATACAATTTTAAATATTCTACATACAAGAGCAAGTCAGAGACTGGGAGTTACGAGGTGAGTAACTTGCCTCCTGACTCTCCAAAGTCTGTCCACTCACTACAAAGCATAAGTCAGGAGTATGAATACTCCTATTGTCTGGATGAGTGCAACTCCAACAATTCCTTCACGATCTGCGCACTATGACAGCAGTGTGTTCCGTGTACCAGATGCATCTTCTAAACTCATGGTGTCTGCCATCTGGAACAAAAAGGGTAGCAGACGCAAAGGAACGTTGCCATCTCTAAGTTCTTCAAGACAAACACTGGCCTGACGTGAGACTGTATTGCTGTTCCTTCCCTGTCACTGAACAAAATGCTAACAGGTTTACTGCACCAAGTGGACTATAGGCTCACCATCTTCTCAAGGGCAATTAGAGATGAGCAATAAATGTTGGCTGAGTCATTGACAACCACATCCCATTAAAATAAAACCGAGCAGCACTTCCTGCTATGCATGTTGAGCTCAGAGCTGTTGGGAGAACCAAAGTGAATCTCTCTGATGCTGTGTTTTATCATACTTGCACAACTCCTTAGAACAGAGAATTAGGGGACAGTTGACAAAGGCGTTCAAAATTACAAAGAATATTGAAAGAACAAATAAAGGAAGGCAGTTTTCAATGGAAGGAGATCCAGTATACAGAGTGCACATACATTCGAGTTAATTAGCAAAATAACCTAAGCAGAGGTGACGAGAATTTAATTTCTAACGTGAGTTATTGTGATTCGGAATGTACTGTCCGAAGAAGTGTTAAAAGCAACTTCAGTGGTGAAATTTGGAAAGAAATTGGACATGTATTATTGAAAAAGATAGAAAGATTGAATGTCTGTTGGGAAAGTGTAGATCAGTGGGACTATTTGGTTGGTAATTCTTTCAACATACCAACACAGCCCTATTCAGCCAAACTGCTACCTTCACTATGATTTATTCCGAAGCTTGATCAGTGCTCGTTGCAACTTCAGTGGCAGCCACTGAGAGGCACAAGAGAGCAACCAAGCTTCCACCCACATCAGGTCTTAACTGAAGCATGTCGTCAGTGATCACACTGTAAGTAAAATAACAGAAAATGCAGAGCAGGCCAGGCAGACTCGAAAGATAAAAGGCAGGTTCATATTTTTAGCTGAGCCAATTTTCCTCAAAGTCAAAATTGAAAAATAAATGGCAAGAGAGCAACAGAATTTTTTTTCAGGTTTTTGAACCAAATTGTTACGTTTCTTCAAAGTTTCATATGCCTGTCCAAACTGTGGCTCATATTTGGCACCCACACACATCACTTGTTTTATTTTTCCTTTTCTGCTTTGTTCTGTTTTGAATTTAATTAGCCCTGGAACAATTAGAAAGAGCAGTCTGTTCTTCTACTAAGTGTCAAATCCCAACCCAACAGCCAAGATTTGTAAGAACTGCCGATGCTGGAGTCAGAGATAACACAGTGTGGAGCTGGATGAACACAGCAGGCCAGACAGCATCAGGGGAGCAGGAAAGTTGATGTTTTGGGTCAGGACCCTTCTTCAGAAATCCTGAATTTCTGAAGAAGATTCCCAACCTGAAACATCAACTTTCCTGCTTTGATGCTGCATGGCCTGCTGTGTTCCTCCAGTTCCACGCTGTTACCCAAGATTTGTTGGTGTGAATAAGTTTGTATGTTTGATAACTAAAGGATTGATGTGCAATATAAGGTACGGTACACACCTGAGCAACCTAGGACAGCACAACTCTGAACACTCCTACAATATGTATTGGCGCGGGAGGGGATACCGAGAAGGCTCATTAGGTTGATTCTGGAGTTGAGAGGTTTGGCGTATGAGGAGAGATTGAATATGCTAGGACTGTACTCATTGGAATTGGAAGAATGAAGAGGGATCTTATAGACACATATAAAATGATGAAGAGAGTCGATAAGATAGAAGCCGGGAGGTTGTTTCCACTGGTGGGTGAAAACAGAACTAGGGGCCATAGCTCAAAATAAGGGGAAGCGGAGTTAGCAGAGTTGAGGAAGAACTTCATCTCCTAAAGAGTGGTGAATCTGTGGAATTCCCTACCCAGTGGAGCAGTTGAGGCTACTTCATTGAATTTTTTTTAAGGATTATTTTTAAACAGTAAAGGAATTAAGGGTTATGGTGAGTGGGTAGTTAAGTGGAGCTGATTCCATGATCTTATAGAGTGGGGGAGCAGGCTCAATGGGCCAGATGGCCTACTCCTGCTCCTGTTTCTTATGTTCTTATGACTTTGCAGACAGAGCTTAACTCAATAAACCCAAGGACCACACCTTCATCCCTTTATTAAACATCTATTGTTTTTAAAAAAATTAATTTATTCAGGGAATGTTGGGTGTTGCAAGTAGAATCAGCATTTATTCCCCCTCTTTGTCACCCTTGATAAGGTACTGGTGAGCCACTGAAGTCTGTGTCGTGAAGGAGCTTCCCCACAGTGTTGTTAGGTAAAGAATTCCAAGATTTTATTCAACAATAGTGAAGGAGTGGCAGTACATGTCCAAGTTAGGAATTGTATAAGTTTTAGCATTGCCTCTCTGTCTGCCTTCCTCCACTGAATCCTGACTGTGTCAACCTATTATGAATTGAAGCTCAAGGATGGATGGGGCATCAAGTCCACATATTTGTTTAAAGCTGTTTTCCCCCTAGCTATCTTACTTTGCTTCATTTGGAAGAGTTACTACATGTAGTGTCAACCGTTGCCTCAGTAGCTATTCTCAGGAGTTTGCAGAACCAAGTTACACTCCAGAAGCTTCTGTTCATGTCTAGTTTGACTTTAATGTGTGGTACTGAGGGCGTGCTGCACTGTAGAGGTGCTATCCTTTGAAAGAGATGTTAATCTGCGATCCTGTAAAAGATCCCTCAGCAATGTTGGAAGAATAATTTTCTATCCAACATCAGCTACTGAACCAGTATGACTAAAAACAGATTATCTGCAACACATAAATATAGGAGGAGTAAGCCACTCAGCCCCTTAAGCCTACCCCGCCATTCAACAAAATCCCGGCAAATCTGATTACTCCACATTCCACCACACCCCTGATAACCTTTAACCCCACTGCTTATATCAAGAATATTTCTCTCTCTCCCCTAAAAGACTCAACACTCTGCTTCAGCCACTTCTTGAGAAAGAGAGTTTCAAACCGTCTCAGCCTACTGTGAGGGAAGAAAAAATCTCATTTCGCTGATTTTTGCATTGCTGTTTGTGGTGACATGTCGGACCCAAATTGCCTGAGATAATCTCTTAGGTTTCAACACTGTAAAATTATTTAATTTGCTGTGAAATACTTTGGGACATCCTGAAAACACAAAAGACACAATAGAAATGTAAGTCTTTCTTTAACTGATACATTTCCAGTTTGTTCTCTACCAGCTCTGCACTATTAGCTTACATTGCTCCTTCAGACTCAAACTGACCCACCATGCATTTGTGGTTATTTTCAGTAATCCTTTCTGTGTTTTATCTCCCCATGACACAGGGCCCCTCCCAGTGGGTGCTGCTCGAGTTCCCTCAGACAGTAAGGGTGACTGAATTACAGCTGCAGTTCCAAGGTGGATTCGCAGGCAGAGCATGCAGACTCGAAGGTAAATTCAGGCTGACTCATAAATAGCCACATCCCAGTCTCTCACAACTTTGAGAATCTCACACGGCCTGTTTTCTGTCATCGGCTCATAACCTCACATCATGGTATGGGGCCCTGGACAGGGAGTGGTAGCAATAACGCCAGTTCACCTTTTCCTTCGATCCACCTGCATTTCTAACTCCGAGTCTCTGAAGCCCAGTAGGATCCTCTGTCTATATCCTGACTCAGATCAGATATCTCAGTAGATCGATCCTTGGATTATCATGGGTATTGTTCTTTTGAAAAATCAGGATTGAGATCAAAGGGGCAGAAAATTCAGGTTATGATCTGGAAGCAGATTCAGTAGTAACTTTTCGGAATGTAAATCAAATAAATACTTGATATGGCAAAATTTACACAACATCGGGGAAAGAACAGTGTGGTAATTGGATAGGATTTTCAAAGAATTGGAAAAGATATAACAAATAAATGGCCTCCTCCTGTGCTGAGTCATTCTGTAGATGTGCACAGCTTGGTATTTAGTTTGAATTTTCTGAGGAAATTTGTCGCAGAAACGCAGAGGTTTCTTTGTTGACAGCATATCCTGGAACTTGCTGCCCATGACGTGCAGTAGGTGTTGTCGACATGGATTTTAGTAAGGCATTTGACAAGGTCACACCTGGCAGACTGGTCAAAAAAGTGAAAGCTGATGGCATTCAGGGTAATGTGTTGAATTGGATCCCAAGTTGGCTTAGAAACAGGAAACAAAGAGTGATGGTCGACGGCTGCCCTTGCAAATGTAAAACTGTTTCAAGTGGTTGTCTGCAGGGTCTGGTGTTGGGACTGGTGCTGTTTGTTTTATTCATTAATGATTTGGATTTGGACTTGAACTTGGGGGTCGCAATTGGGAAATTTGCAGTCGACACAAAAACTGGCCGTGTAGTGTAGAGGATATCTGTAAGCTTCAAAATTATATAAATGAATTGGCAGAGTGAGCAGGAAAGTGGCGGATGGAGTTCAACTCTGCTAAGTGTGAGTTAATGCATTTAGGGAGGGCAAATATTAAAAGGGAATACACAATAAGTGGGAATATACTGAGAGGGGTAGATAAGTGAGAGATCTTGGAGTAAAAATGCACTGGTCCCTAAAGGTAGCAGTACAGGTAGATAAGGTTTTGAAGAAGGCATATGGAACACTCTCCTTCATTGGCAGAAGTAGAGAATACAAAAGTAAAGATATAACGATGAGGAGAGATAACAAGGTGTAGAGCTGGATGAACGCAGCAGGCCTTGTTATCACAGATTGATAACACCTTGTTATCTCAGATTCTCCAGCATCTGCAGTTCCTACTATCTCATATAACGATGAAACTGGATAAGACACTGGGGAGTCCATAACTGGAGTATTGTGTACAATTCTGGTCACTACATTGGAGGAAGGATATAATTGTTTTGGAGATAGTGCAGAGAAGATTTCCTAGAATGTTGCCAGGACTGGAGGATTGTAGCTATGAGGAGAGATTGGAGAGGTTGGGATTGTTTTCCTTGGAACAGAGAAGGCTGAGAGGTGACATGATTGAGGTGTGCAAAATTGTGAGGGGTGGAGATGGAGTAGACAGGAGGAACCTGTCAGAGAGTTCTCATCCCTTGGGAGAGAGTTCAAAAACCAGAGGTCATAAAGTCAAGCTAGGTGGCGGAGGATTAGCGGAGATGTGAGGAAAACATTTTTATGCAGAGGGTGATGAGTGTCTGGAATTTGCTGTTTTGAGTTGGTGGTAGTGGCAGAGACCCTAATTATTTTCTTAAAAAAGTACCTGGACCTGCAGCTTAAGCACTGTAAGCTGCAGGGGTATGGGTTGCGTGCAGGAAGATGAGATTAAAAAGGGCATCTAGATATGTTTTGGTTGGTATGGATAAGATGGGCTGAATAGCCCCTGCTGTGCTGCATCATTTCTATGGTTCTGTGAGGGTGGTGCAAATGGAAACAATCAAATTTTGAAGGTAAATTAGAGAGGAACTTGAAGGAAACAAATTTACTGGCCTACAGGGATCCTGTGGTGGTGATGGAACTGACTGGATTGCTCTATAGGCAGCAGATATAGTCTGAATGGGCAGAATGGCTTTGTTCTACCGATCAATTACATCACAGACCTGCAAGTTCAAAAAGAGTGTTGAAAGGGAGATTGGCTGTCACACTTTGTACACCTAATGCCTTTAAGCAAGAAAAATGTCCCTTTCCACAGAACCTTACACATGCACCTGAGAACACAGACATGGCTTTGTTTTAATATCTTTTTAATGAACTGTTGCTCATGATCACCTTGAATATGCCAACTGCACCATTGGAAGAGGCCAGATCTTAAACGTTTGGAAGGGAGGTATTCGTGAAATAACTCCATGAAGGCCTGTATCCCGTCACCAAGTCATCCTTTATTTACATGTGCATGGTACATGACACTGACCAGCAAGCACAGAGCCAACTTCTGGACGGGGCAGAACTCCTGACACTCCAGTTTATAAGTCAGCCAGGGCTCCCTGATTGGACCAGGTTAGCAGCCCCAATCAGGGAACTCATATTCTATGAGGTCTGCCTGGCTAACCTCGTTATAATCACTACAGTTAGATTGGAGTCTGTTGCGTTCATCTATTTTGTACAAATTAGAAACAGCCAGATATTGTAATTGGAAATCTAGGATCCCTGTCCTTTTACTCGAGTGCAGGAACATCCAGTGTTTTAATGCTGAGTTATGTATCACAAAGTTTTAGACACTGCATATGGTATTAGAATTCTCAACACCTTTAATTTGATTTGATTTATTGTAGTCACATGTATCTAAGTACAGTGAAAAGTATCCACTGAGCAAGTTGTTGAAAATGTCAAGGTGCTAAAAGCACTTACATGACACTTTACATGAATGTCTCTAAGTATTTTAAAGCCAATTGAAATGGTTCTTGAAGTTTAGTCACTTATAATGTAGGAAATGCACCAAGCAAATTCTGACAAACAGCAATGTGATAATGGCCAGGCACTTGTTTTAATACTGATTGAGAGATAAATAATGGCCAGGGCACCAAGAATACCTCCCTTGCTCTTTTGAGAATAACTGCCAACAGAGCAGGCAGGTGGGAGTTCTTTTTTAATGTCTCATCTGAAAGACATCACTTCTCAAAGTGTAGTGATCAAGACTTCTCCAGAGTGTCAACCTAAAAAATTTGTTTATGCTGTAAAACTGAATAATGTTACAGTTTTCCATGGTTTTACTCATATTGCAACTAGCTCCATGACTAAACTTACATGTCTTTTGTTTCTTAGGTGGAAGAAAGGGATCCAATTTGGTGAAAATAGCTGATTTCTACCCTGAAGACACAAACTGCTTACAGATATCCTTCAGAGACTTTGAGACAGTAATAGGTTCTTTCGCAATGCTGTTGTGTTGGATCTGTCTGTGTTATGATCTTACAATATGTGAGGACCAAGACTGTCTCAGGAAGTATAAGCATCATTATTTCTAAATTGGGTTACTCGGTGAGATGCCTTGCGAGTGTGAATAAGAACTTAAGAAGTGGGAGGCCTTACGGTCCTTCGAGACTGCTCCAATACTCAGTAAGATCATGACTGTTCATCTACCTCAAGTCCGCCTTCCCTGGCATTCCCCATATCTTTAGATGTTCTGGGTATCCAGAAATCAACTAATCCAAGCCTTAAGTGCATCTACCACTGAATATCCGCAGCTCTCTGGGATAAAGAATTATAAAGATTCACAAGCCTTCCAGTAAAGAGATTTCTCCTCATTTTAATCTGAATGTGGGGCACCATGGGTGATTCTAAAATACTGGATCATGCCTTTGTCCACTTGTCCATCCGCTGAGCCCCAGGAATGCCTTTTAATTAATGAATATTTACTTTTTATGAATATAGGAAGCCATTTCTCTAAATTATACTACAAATAAATTATATTTTTCTTCCTGACTAACAACACATTTGCTGGAAAAGCTCAGCAGGTCTGGCAGCATCTGTGAAGAAAAAATCAGAGTTAACGTTTCGGGTCCGGTGACCCTTCCTCAGAACGGAAGGATCACTGGACCCGAAGTATTAACTTTGATTTTTTCTTCACAGATGCTGCCAGACCTGCTGAGCTTTTCCAGCAACTTTGTTGTTTTTCCTGATTTACAGCATCCATAGTTCTTTCGGTTTTTATATTTTTCTTCCTTATCTGTGACCCACAGATTCTCCATCCATGAGGAATCCATTGCTGATAAATTAAAAATTATTTTTGAGGAAAGCACAGACTTCTTTGGAAGAATTGTCATCTATCATCTTGATGTTCTTGGTGAAAAATTATCATAATGTATCTGATTACTCTCGCTGCCTGGAGAACTAGAAACCAGCTGGAACTGGGAATTCCCAAACACCCCGTTAGTGCCTCATGATACGCAATCTCTAACATGATGCATTCCCTGGTTTCCACTAATTCAGCCTGAAACTTGCCTTGGATCAGTGAGAAGGGACTGAAGAACTTTATATTAGACAACTACAGGAAACATGTCTCAATCACTGGTATTTAAAATATAAATTAGGACACATTATTGTTACAAGTCATCACCTGATTTTTTGTTTGTTTTTGGAATCCAATGATCAGTATTCTATAAGCAGATATCCTGAGCAACATTAAGGAAATCCTGAGGTTTGTTTTGCTTTTGGATGTAGACCATTGGCCAAGAGGCTGGAGAACTCCCATACAGACAAACACTTTGTTTCTTCAAATTGCAAAGCAAGGCAGGTGGCTATCTTGATTATCTTTTCAGACAAAGTCCATTTTTAATTCTTTCAGATTGAAGAGTTGGTTTTCTTTTAACCTTTCCTCATAGCTCTATTCCCTGACAGTAGGGATTAAACATCTGGCTATTTGCATTATAACTACTCAACTCGCAATGAATTCTGTTAGTAAAATAGAGTTGATCTGTTTATTAAGACAATTTATATTTCTAGTGACATACCTTGGGATCGGTTTGAGGCTAATTGCTGCTAGACACATTCAGAGATCGTCTGGAGATCAATTGCTGCTAGGCCTCTGCAGGGGTCAGTGAGGAGCTTAAATGTTCTGAGGCATGTCCAAGAGCCACCATTGTCCAAGAGCTCTCTGGTCAATTGCAAGACCCATCAGACTACTGCTGAGTTCTTAGAGACATGAGCACCTATGTGTTTTCATCAGTTCAGACTTCTCAACACAGGTAATGTTGTTACAACTGTTAAGTCCGGAGCATTATCTGAGCCTTAGTTCTTGTTTCAATTGGTAGCCCTCTCAGTGGAGTTAGAAGGTCGTGGGCTGAAGCCCCATTCACAAGATGGAGGCAATAGAATACAGGCTGCCTGGGCTGAGAAAGTGCTGAATTATTAGAGAGGACAATCTGACTGACCAGATGAGGCGTTAACTAAAGCCCTGTTGTTCAATTGGGTGGTATTTTAAGAAGAACAAGGAGAGCAATGGACACTTACCAACAGAATTAGAACATAATTGACAATTATTTCGTTACTGTGGGTGAGATCTTACTGTGTACAAATTGGCTCCTGCTTTTGCTTGTGCAACAACAATATCTGTGAACCACTTTGGAATATTCTGGTATTGTGAAAGGTGCTAGATGAGTGTTTGAAAGAGTGCAATTGTAATGTTACTAGACTAGTATTCCAGAGATGGGACACTAATGATCTAGAGACCCGGTCAAATCCAACAACAGCAGCTAAGAAAATTAAATTCAACAAGTAAGTTAAATTTGTAATAAAATAAGTAATGCTAATCATTTCAGATTATTGCAAAAAATATATTTAGGGAAGGAAATCAACCATCCTTGCCCAGTCTGCGCTAAGTGTGACTCCAGACTGCCAGATGTAGTTGACTATTGACTGCTCTCTGAAACAGCCAAGCAAGCCCCTCAATTGGTACCAGGGATTCACAATAAATACTCAGCTTGCCAACGATACCTTTAGGCTGTGAATGTATGAAACAAAAATAGATCTTTGTTTGACCTTTTGATACTGATGATAATTGACTGCAAACTTTAAAAAAATACAAGTCAGGTATCTGGAAAAAAAAACTTTATTTTTTTTTACAAAATTAATGTCTTTACACTTTGGAGATGTACAGGCAATCCATTCCCAAACAAACCCCCAGACTAACTTGTAAAGTTTAGTCAGATACCAGTGCTGATTTAAAGAGCAGTTTGCTGAAATAGTCACAATTACATCAGTAACCAGCCCACTCGTTTGGTTTGCCATTCATTAGAAACCATCTTTCAGTTGTTTTCTATGATCTTACTGTGTGTTGAATTTATTTTGGACATGATATAGGATGGAGTGGGCCTCAACAGCCTGTGCTGCTTCAAATGAGCTTCTTGCTGCAGAGTTCATGTAGTCTGTAGAGCAGAAAGAGAGCCTTGACTAGTGTTTGTTTACTGGCTGCATTTCACCCTGAGGCTGGTTCCATTGCTTCCACCTTCATGATCACTCTTTGTTGTTCTGAAGTAGCTTCAATACATGGTTTTCGATTGCTTGTTGGACTAAAACACAAATAAGAAAAGGATGTTTTTTTCAAAAATCATGGATAAGAACACTTACCTAGCAGTGTGCTTACATTGAGAGTATTCAAGACAGTACATCTTTGAAAATCAAAAGGGGCTGCACCCTGGCTCAGTGGTTAGCACTGTTGCCTCAGCGCCAGGGACCTGGGTTTGATTCCAGACTCGGGCGACTGTCTATGCAGAGTTTGCATGTTTTCCCCACATCTGTGTGGGTTTCCTCCCACAGTCCAAAAATGTGCAGGTTAGGTGGATCGGCCATTGTATAAACCCCATGCAAGGTTATGGAGGAGGGTCTGGGTGGGATGGTCTTTGGATGGTTTGTGTAGGCCTAATGGGGTGAATGACCTCTTGCTGCACCGTAGGAATTCTTGAAGAGATGAGGATAAAATAAGAGAAGAAAATGAAGTTGTGGTGGACAATCGTCCATGATCTTATTGAATGATCAAACAAGTTCAAGGCACTAAACTGCATACTCCTATTTGCTATGTTCTTATGCTTTCCCTTTCCCCTGTCCTTCCTCCTCCCCTCTCTTTCTTAGAGAACTGATATAGGAACAGAAGTAGACCATTCAGCCCCTTAGCAATAAATAGCCATTCACTTCGATCAAGTCTGATTTGTTTCTTAACTCCATGGGTTGCCCACCTTGGGTATCTTTGCTGAACAAAAACCCATCATCCTCAGTTTTGACATTTTCCAACTGAACCCCAGCCACTAGAGTACATTGGGCAAAGAGAGTTCTGGCATAAATGGTAACACATGTTCAAGCTGGACACCAGGCCCGGCGTCAACTGCCAAGCGATTCTCACAAGTGACCAATGTGTAAGTCTTGGCATTTGATGACAGTTATTGATTCGTGCCCAACTCATTTTAGCCCTAACGTGCTCTCACCTCACACACGTCCCTCCCAAAACAGGATAGCAAGCAAATGGTAGAATTCCTGGCTGATTCCTTTTCAACTGCACCATTGGTGGGGCATCCCAGCTGAGGGGAAAGTTAAGAAACTCCCATTTCAAACCATCTCAAGTGCAGCCCTCACTATTGGACAGTGAATAGCCCTGTACGTAGAGCGTAAGTCTTCCAGAGAGAGAGGGAAGAAAATTTGAGGCAGGGGGGCGTGTCAAAGAGCTGAAAGGAATGGTGAGTCTTGCCTTTTTTAAAGCCCAGGGCCACAGCCAGATCCATAGGGCTGTAACCAGAGTCTGCCTCCATTGTTAAATCTGCACCTTTGGCTGTAGATAAAAAAAACAAAACAAATATCAAAGTCGACATCTAAATAAATATGCAGTTTTGGTATAATTCCCCGTAGAAGTGAGACTTTTCTTGAGTCTACATAGAATTAAGATTATGAATGGAATTGACACATTGATTTCTTTGCTAAAGGATTTATATTCCAGGGAACTGGAGTTAATAGTCAAAAACCACCCAAAGAGACATTTTCCTGATTTTTTTTTTTTAAAAACACAGTTGTTCATGATTTATCTTCTGTTGTTTGCAACAATAACCCACAGATTAATTTTCAGTTCTGGAGATACCAGGGCATCCTGGAACGCCTTTCCCAAGCAAACAGTCTATTTCTCCTCCAAGTTTCTGTGCCCTCACTGTTCCTTTCCCTGACCACTTGTGGCAGAATATTCAAGCATCTTGGACTGATTCTGGTGGTGTGTATTAGCAATGTCACTTGGTTAGTAATCCAAAGGCCCAGGCTGATGCTGTGGGGCCAGGAATTAGAATCTCACTACAGAAACCTGATGGAATTTAAATTCAACCTCAGCGAATAGGCTAGGACTTTTCTCAATAAAACGTAGGAGGTTGAGGGGTGAGCTTATAGACATTTATAAAATCATGAGGGGTATTCATAAGGTCATTTCCCTAAGGTGGGGGTTTCAAAAGTAGACGGCATATTTTAAAGGTGAGCGGAGAAAGTTTCGATGAAGCCCAGCGCGGACTCCTGGCGCTGAGGTGAAGCCTAGCGCGGACTCCCTACTTTAGAAGGACTGTAATACTGAACTTTTACCTTTATTTCTTTATTTTTCCAATTTATACCAAGATTTTGTACCAAGGTATCTTTGCACCTTGCTTTATAAGAACTGTAATGCTGATCTTGTAACTATTATTTTCATCTTTCTAATTTATACCTAAGATTTTGTACCTAGGTATCATTTTGCTGGAAATGGCGACTTTGTACACTTTTCACTTTTCATGTATTCCTGTACTTGAGTAAATGTGACAATAAACTTAATTCTAATTCTAAGATACAAAAGGGACCTAAGGGGCAACTTTTTCATGGAGAGGGTGGTTCATGTGTGGAATAAACTGCAACAGGAAGTGGTAGCTGCAGGTACAGTTGCAACATTTAAAAGATGTTTGGACAGGTACATGAGTAGGAAGGGTTTAGACAGATATGGGCCAAATACAGGGCAAGTGGGACTCGTTTGGTTTGGGAAACTTGGTCAGCATAGACGAGTTGGACCGTGCTATATGATTGTATGACTCTATCATCAATTGGTTCACCTCTCGAGAAGGAAATCTTGGATCCTTACCCGGTCTACCCTACATATGATTCCAGATCCAAATCACTGAAAAACTGAATTGTCCTTTGAAATGGCCCAGCAAGCCATTCAGTTGAAGGGAATTTGGAGAGATGCAACAAATGTTGATCTTTCTGACATCCTGTGAAAGAATAAATCAACTGACTTCTATCATCCTTGGTATCATCTTAGTTAAAAGTCCACTGTACTCTCTCCAAGGTTTTGACATCCTCATGTATGGTGCCCTGAATTATATACCAGCCGAGGCCTCAATGGGGGAGCTTGGAAAGGTAGTGTATGACTTTCTTCTTACATCAAATGCCCCCTTTTTTTAAACAACATCAAACCAATATGTTTTCTTAATAGGCATATCTTGTCCTGCCACCTTCAAAGATTCCTAAGTCTTCATCCCAATTCCTTCTGTCCCTGTCCCCATCAAAACGGTACGATTTAGATTATATTGTCTCTCCATGTTTTTCTGGTAAGCTAAGTCTCACCCCAGGACTTATGTGAAAATCAAGGTTGACACTCCAGTGCAGCAGTAGGGGAGCACTGCACTGTTGGAGGTGACACCTTTCGGATGAAACGTTAAACCCTTTCCTGTTTGTGTGGGTATAAAGGATCCCCTGGTATTCTTTGATGCTCATATTGGTTACAACCACTTTTAATGTACAATCTCCATATTTCTGCAGCCATTTTGTACTCAGCATGATTCCACAAACAACAATAAAACGAGTGACAACTTCATCTGCCTTTTTATTAGAGATATTTCCCGAGACAGGATGTGAGCGGGATACTAAGACACTCTTCTGAAAAGCACTTCAGTGAAGCATTCCCACCTCCTATTCCACACACACTTTCAACCCACACGCACGCTCCCTCCCCCTCGCTGATTCAGACTTACCTAATAGAGCTTCCACACACCTCACATGATTTCCATGCACTGCATACAGCAATGGAGTTCCACCATTCTGGGGAAAGCAGATAATAAGGTTATGAGAGGCTCAATATAAGGGGCTCTATGGAGGCACATAGCTATCCCCCTTAACACAGAGGTCTCCCATTTATGGTCCAATGGGCTATCATAGGTACATTCAAGTGGAGGGTGAATGAACACACAAGAGAATAAGAAATAGAAGAATATGTTGATGGGATTGGATGAAAAGGAGTGACAGAGCATAAACATCAACCAAATGACCTGTTCCTTGAAAAGGTGATACACTATTGCTAAATATATCCAACATGCATACACTTTCGGTATTCGCTGTCACTTTGTCTGTGTACCCAAGCACTCAATTCATCAACTAGTGTAGGCTGATTCAATCAGTTTTAACAACATGGGGAATAGCCAAAGGGGACTATAAATTTGCTATTATTTTAATTTTTACGTACAGACCCCAAAGAGAGACAAGGCTCACAACACTTAACAGACTGTTGTTTAAAGGTGGAATCCCACAGCAACATACGTCCCCTGTACGCCCCACAGAAATCATAACATGAAAGCCAAAGGCGTAAACATCAGGCAGTCTAGCTCAGGTATAACCTCACCCAGTCATAAATGTTGACATCCACACCGTGGTCAAGGAGTAGCTGGACAATGTCAGTGTATCCCTGAATGCTAGCCAGAGACAGCGTGCTCTCCCGTTCCTTCGCCAGAGTGTGTGGGTCAGCGCCCTGTAACAACAGCAAGTGGGCCTCACGTCAAAGTTTCAAGTAAACCCTTCCACCCAAGACATTCTGTTTATTCATATGGATCGGTTATGCATTGGAATTCTAATGTTGCACTTCTTTATGTACAGTTCCATTGGGCAGTATCTGGTTACTCACTCCACTGGATAATCTCTCTGTGTCTCTGTATCAGCCTTAGTTGGTTAATTGACTCAGTACATCAGCATCAAACCTGATCCTGTACCACCAACTGCTCAGGTATTTTGTCCAGTAGAGCTCACTGAGTTGTTTATTATTAAATACAAAAATAGA